AAAAAAAAAAAAAAAAAAGAGAGAGGAAACTGTTGCTGCCTAGGGCCTAGAGGCGTGGGAAATGGTTGATGAGGCAATGACCTGCATCAATCTCCCAAAGCACATCATAATCATAGCACCAGCCGTTTACAAGGACGGCATTCCATGAAACGGACGCTGCACAAACGCAGCTTGGGAGCCGAGGTTCCGCAACTCATGTGCAATGACAAGCCTGCCTGCCCCAATCCAGTGCCACCTACCGAAAGTCAGCCCCGCTCGAGCGCACATGACGCCGACCAAAGGTCTACTCCACGTCACCTGATGTCAACCCCGATCATAAGATTTCGCCGCAGCACGGCGGTTGTGACACCCCGCCTGTTGCATTTGATTACGCAAATCCCCATGTAGATCCTATGAAAACTGTCACCAGTCAAGCCCCCAAGCTTTGGGAAGTCCTAGTGCGCATGGCTCCGTTGGACCTGTTAGCGGCTCTTTCACCAAAAGAGTTCTTGCATCTAGCTCGTTCCGCAGGGCACAGCGGATGAACATTCGCAGGCAAATCCCACTGGCACAACGCGAAAGTGTGCACCAAAACGTCAGGCCAACCAGCCTCCCTTTCATGACGCACCGCGAACAACCTGAAACTGGATACTGTAAATTTTCACTGCTGAAACGCAGGTTGGTGTGCCAATACAATCTTATTGAGGCAGGCGGATAATAAATTACAGTCCGTGCACGTTCCCCGTTCGCTTGTAAAACGATTGTCTTGGTCAGCGGTTTTTTGCGGAGTAAATGGCATGATGGGCTGACATCGCCGCTCCATCCCGACGAAGCATGATCACCGAGCCTGTTTATGTAAACGCCAGCACGAAAAGAATAATACGTTGTCAAAGACGTTAGGTGATATGATCACCCCTTACGGCTCTTCTCCGCCCACGCTCGCGTTTCAATCTTTGGGCTACGTGTCACCAGGCATGAACCCCGTTAAACTTCAACTCTGTGATGTAAGGACCTATGTTGTTCTCCCTGCGCCCTTTCCTGCTGAGCGAATCACGGAAATCCCGTGCACAGTATGCCTAGAACACCACACCATGACCCAAGATTGCAACAGAACTAGTCCAACTTGTGCCCCAGTACTGGCGCCGTCGAACTACAAAGCAATACAACAATCACAAAAAAACAGGACACAGCCACACCTCCGAATCAAAGCCTGCGGTTGCCAAATCCAAAGGCAGACTCGTAATTTGAATTCGAGAAGATTGTAATCTTCATGCATGTAAAAATTGTCAAATCAAAATTCCAAGCCAGCCCTTCAACGGAAGCACTGACCGCTGTCGTGGATTCAAATCTCAGAATTCTCAAAACCAGACTTCCAGATGTTCACCTGAGACCTGCCTGCTGATGCCCAAAGCTTCGGCTCAAAGCAGTTTGCCCAGATAAGTCGAGCACCTATGCAGGGTGAAGCTTGAAGGCTGCGCATCTAGTGCCGTCCACCACTGCATGGTGCAGGGAATCCCGGTTTGAGTCTAGAAGTCCCTGTTCGTGCAGCTTGGGGCTTGCAGTTGAGGCATGCTACTTGAAGCATCTTGAAGCGAAATCTGTCAACTTACAAGGATGAACACTGTCCAGTCGTCGCTGCCGAAGCTGATTCAAGGCTTCTCGACAAGGACCTCACGTACGCGATGCTACAAGCTGTTTCTTGCAAACCGTCTTCAGAGGACTTTTATCCTGCACACTTCAGATTCACTCAATGTGCCAAACCATCGAAGCCATGATGCCTCTAGAAGCCCACCACTACATAGCTCCCAGATGCTCCCAGGGTGGACCTGCAGGCTCATCAGCCCGAGCAATCCCAAACTTCTCGAGCGTGGCGAGAACAATTCTCTCGGCAGCGGCACCTGCTCCATCGTAGTGTGCCTGCGCACAGCATGTTTTGGCAGCGTGGGCATACTTTGAGTTGTCAGAAACATGAACAGGTTTCCCTTTAAGCCAGGCGAGAGTGATCAAGGCTATAGTAATTGATCTGTGCTAGTTACTGCCAGCCAGTGTCGACCGACTCCTTAATTCTGCTTGGGAAACATTAAGAGGTTTCCCTTTAAGCCAGGCGAGAGTGATCAAGGCTATAGTAATTGATCTGTGCTAGTTACTGCCAAACGGTGTCGACCGACTCCTTAATTCTGCTTGGGGGCTTGATTGATCCGCCAGAAGAACACACCCTGGAAGTCTGTCGTTTTCCTGCACAAGCCATGGGCAACAAACATGATGGGCTGCGCAGCAGCATGGGACAGCAAATGCGCAGCGATCGAAGCATGCGTCGTAATCCAAGGCGACCTGCCTACTTCGACATGCATTTATATCAAGGACCCCTCAGCATGTGCGGAATCATCTCTGCAGCTGCCCTACGCACTTGATGACACTGACTTCTCATCCGCAGTTCATAAGGAGGCACAGCCGTAGTCTCCTTGTGGGAGAGCGTGACCGCATGTCTCAGAAACGCTCATGGCTGACATGCCTATGGCTATGTGATAAAATCCGGCACAGAAGGGCGCAAGTGGGTGACAGAACTTTCACTTGGAGGCTGTGTGGGAAAAGCCTGCAAATAGCAGGAAGACATGATTCCGCAGCACTGTAGGCCACTTCAAGCGTGCTTGAGCCTTGCAGCGACACGAGCACAAACGGAATTGCTTAGCTCAACTACGGCCACACCAACTGGATGGGCAGGAAAACGCACCTCTCATTAGCTAAAACATCAATTCAAACTCTCAACAGCGGCGTGCGCGAGCAACGGCAGCTTTTAGTACCTCAAAGGGCGCCCTGGGTTCGAGCCGCATGCGTCGGCACGCCCTTCATGCCACTGCTGTGCAAAGGTGGCAAGCTGGAAAATCAACACCCGTCCTCGGCTCGAGCTCGGGCAGCCTTTCTAACATGCCTTCCTGCCCTGATCAGAAGTTTCTTCTCCTGAGCAGCCTCGGAAGGTCTAAGTTGCCACTCGCCTTCGGCGAGAGCATGTAAAAGAGGTTCACGGTCACAACCTTCCTTGGTGAGCACATCGGTCAGCATCTGAGACGTGTCTACCCAGGAGGCGGAGGCAGGAGCATCGTCCTCAAACGGGTTCTCGCCAATCATCTCCTTCACCTGGGCAAGCAAAATGCGAACTCGTTTGTCCGCCGGCTGGCCAGTGTCCTTGTTAATGGACTGCTCCAAACTGCGGGCGTCAGTGAACATGGCGATCTTCTCCTTGAGGTAGTGGTTGTCGAGGTCCCTGATCTGGACATCTGGGTGAATGAGTTCCATCAAGAGCATCCTCAGGTACTCTGCAGCCTCGGTGCCAGCCAAGAAGCCGTTTGCTTCAGCCGCCAAGGTACTGCGGCACACTCTCTTGATGCTTCCAGAGTAGGTCTCGAGGATGAGGATGGGAACGGGATCACCGTTGAAGACGTCCCTGGTCGTCAGGCCAACGACGAAGCCACACTGGGACTTGCCTCCCTCAACGTTACCAAAACTACTGTCCGCAAAGGAGAAGACGATGGCCTCTTCGAGCGTGAAGTTGCACTTTCGAAAACACCACTTGTGCTCGGAAGAATCCTTCGGATGCTTCACCGCCTTGTTCAAAGCAACAACGTCGCGGATCTTCGGGTTTCCCATGGCCTGAGCAGCCAAACTGACATTGACCATGAGATCCGGACGTGATTGCCGAACCACCCACCCCATTTGGCCAATCAGTGCGCGAAAGGCAGACTTTTCGGCGTCGGTGAGTGGGCCGTTGACATTCTTGCGCCTCTCGGTCGGGAGAACCATGTAGTCAATGCCCTCAATGGAGTCCATCTGGTCCAGGAAGATGCTCCCGTCCTTCTGCAGGATGTTCTTCCCACAGAAGCGAAAAAGTGCCCTTCTTGATTGTGAAGTGGCGTTCCTGCTCCATTTCCTTGAGCGTCTTGTCGTAAGCTTCACCTTCTCCACAGCTGTAGAGGTCGTCAACGTGTGTGATGAGAACTCCAAGCAGGCTAGACCCATCAGCGAGGATGAAGAGCGCAGGCTCGATGGCGGACATGCGCCACCCGTTCTTGCGGAGTGTCTTGAACAACTTCTTCCACCAGGAACGGCCTGCGTCTTTTGTCCCATAAATGGAACCTTTGGCTCGGAGAAGGTCGTTCGGGCCAAGTCCAGGTGGTGGTGGTGGTGGTGGTCTCGGCGGACGCAGGATGAGAAGCCGGCTTATTCCTGAGATTGGAGATATGCGGTAGACGCGTCAGCAGCCAGCACTTCCCAGCCCTTCAGGACCGCAACGGCACTCACGAGGTTGAAGGCCAGGAGCGAAGCCGTAGGCGAATCCGTACGGAGGTCTGAGGCATCTTCTTGGTGACCCTGCACGACCAAACGAGACTTCGCCGCAAAGGGGTACTCCTTGGTCACCTGCTCTCTGGACTTCCCAGTCTTGTGACAAAGGTGAAGTGCCAACAGCCGCTGCTTCTGGTTCTTGTCGGTGTGCACCCAACGTGTACCAATTATGCGAACATCACCTGGTAGTGAAAGGATCTGAGCAGGCGTGAGGATCTCAACGGCATTGAACTTCATCCAGGAGGTCCATTCCTTTTCCATAGAGGCCAGGAACTTTGCTCGGTTCTCAGGAGAGAGATCTTTAAGCTTGATCTCCGAGCGAACCGCCTTGCCGGTGAGGAACACGTCCGCTGGGCGCAGGTACGCAAAGTCCGACTCGTCGTCATCGTCGGTGTCGATTTCGTACTCCTCGATGCCATTGACCATCTTGCGTAGCCTGCACTCCCTCACAGTCCGCGTCAAAGGCTCAACGTCCCACAGGAAGTCCTCGGTGAAGTACGGCGCCTCCGTGCTGCTGGCGGACCTGTTGGAAGAGCGAACAGGAACATAGCCATCAAGTCGATTTGGATCCTGAAAGACGTTCGGTGATGATTGCGCGGAAGGTACATGTGGTGCATCATGCGCTGGCTGAAGATGCGCTCCCTGAACTGGTGGTACATGTGGTTGAGCTGGAGCTAGTGCTTAGTGGTGGTGTAGGATGAGGTTCCGGCTCGGTGGACATGCGCGAATGCTGTCTGTCAATGGGTGCCCCCTCGCCCGGAATCTGCGCTTGTTCTTCATGAACTTGCTGTTGACCTGGTCCAACACTTGCGGATGCCCCCTCGCCCGTCCTTGGAATCTGCGGTGGTTCTTGAGGAACTTGCTGCTGGCCAATCTCGTTGAGTAAGCCACCATCGTCTGCTTCAGGTAGAGGAGGTAGAAGTTCATGGACGACGGGAATATCAGTGCCGGGAACCAGAGCCGAAGCAGGTACAGGCGGAATCGATCCAGAAACGCGGGGTCGTTGCCGAGGTCGCGCGTCTTGTTCTTCAGCAGGAGGAGCAGCAAGAGGTTGAGCACGTAAGTCCACATAGCTTCGAGCGCCACGAGCATAAGGTGGAGCAAGAATCTCCTGTGGAACTGAGTGGGCAGCAAGAAGCTCCTCTTCGCTTGCAAAGCGCAGTTGCTCGCCCGTGACAAGGGCCACAGAGTTGCCAAGGCGCAACCAATACGAATGGGGTTGACCGCCTTGGGTAGGAAGATCTTGGTCCTCAAGTCGGCGCTGGTTGCGAAGTTCCACTCCTATGACTCTTGCAGGACCGTGCCACTTGTACACACGGCCAGTGCCTGGAGGAGCTTGTTGTCTATAAAAATACACATACAAACCCACCGGGCACGGGCCTCTTGTAGGTGTACTTTGAGGTAGAAGTGCTTGTCTCACTCGGCTGTCCGTATCCATCCGAACTTGAGCAACACGAACGGCCTGTCGGATGCCAAGTGACCTGGCCAAAGCTGAGTTGGGATCCTCGGCAGCCTCCAGAACCTCAAGTCGCTCTGCTTCAGGTTCCAGTAGCAAACTGCCCGGGAGACGCATTTGTTGCTTTCCCAGGACCCACTGGTTCGGTGCGTATCCTCGAAGAACGAGGGAAGCCATTCCTTGTCTGAGTGATGATGGCAGTCGCGGTGGTCACGTCCTGGATCCCATTCAGCTGCATCTCGTGGACGACCTTGGTGAAAATGTCTTTCCACACGCCTCCTGCTTTCTCAACTTTCCCATTTTTCCATGGGGCTTCCAGGGGCATGGCCTCTTGCTCGACGCCAAAGGACTTAAGGCAGTCCGCGAAGTGGGCCATGAACTCGATCCTTGCCAGGGTCAACCTGAAGGCTTCCAGGCAATCCGGCCCATGAAGACCAAGAAGTCAGAAAATGCCTGAGCACAACGCGAGCAGCAGGAGGTCCTCGAGAAAGACCCATACAAGAAACCACCTGAAAGCCGGTGGCCTCACAGATCACGTTCAGGAAGGAATAAAGCTGGGCACGGATGTCCTTGCAGTAGAAGACCTGAACGTGGGCGTTGAATTCGTACTTACTTGCCGGGAGCCGCACGGGCTTCGGTCGCCTTCTGCGACGTGACTCACCGCAGGCAAGTCAACTCCTCAAATGGCTTCAGGTCTTGCCCCTTGACGGCGGAGGATGCGTTGGAGCTTCGTGTTGGTAGGATGCCCAAACTGAACATGAAGATCACGAAGGCACTTTCGAATGTCGGTGCTGTGTTCCAACCATTTCCTCCGTTTATCCTGCTCCGGGATGCTCAGAGTAGCCCCATGATTGCTCGGTGCGAAGCGTCATCGCCATCGGCAACGTAAGGCAAGTTCTGACCAACACTCGGTTCGTCGATGAGCTCGGCAAGGGTCCGGTCAGTCTCGTCGTCGGGTGGCACAGGTTCGATGTCGCCAGGTCGAAGGTAGACAGGGGGCGCATTATCTCTGTCCGTCAACAAGGAAACTCTGCCTGGACGACGCCGTCTCGGAGCTCGAAGACGTTGCTGGCCGGTCTCGTTGGTGAAGGTCTCCTGGAGCCTGGGGGGTGGTTTGGCCTTACTTTGTATGGTCGGAGGTTGTTTTGGCATCTGGCCGTGAAAAGGCCATCTGGCCGTGAAAAGGGAAAAAGGCCGTGAAAATAAGGCTTTCTGAACTTCCTGCCTGGCTTCCTGAGCTGCGCGTGATTTTACGCAGGCTTTGGACAGGTATATGTTGGCTCAAATGCGTGCGCGTGTAAAAAACCCTAATATGCCCCTAAACCTTATATAGTCATATTTCGCTCGAGTGACTTGAGCGTGATCAAAACAAACTGAGCCCCAAATATTTACACCATTTCTCATTTGGATTATACCCTCAAGGGTTCAGGGCGCATGGGCATCAATGTACGGCTGTTACCGTTGGGATCCCAAGGGTATATACGTTTCACGGTCAACTTCCACTGTGTTGCAGGGACTGGTTGCTCAATGGCCATTCGATCACTTTTCATGACTCAGGGCGGCGGGTCCTGAAGACCCAAAGCTTCCTGTACGTTTATGTTACAAGCAAACAATGAAATTCACAGGGTTCAAGGTTAATTCTATTGTGACGCAGAGCCCCTCGATCAGCACACCTTTGAAAGGAAATGAGTTCGCAGACCTTGGAGTTATATACAGGGCTAGGCCTAAAGCTTTAGGTATCGATCCGGGTACCCCCTTTATATTAAAACCGTAGCGCCAAAGATTCCCAAATCCAGCGATAACATAGTACTTCTGGGGCAGAACCTGTGTACGTATTATATAGCCAGCATTATAGTATGTATGCTAATTAGAGGACGAAAAAGGTCAGGTCGTAGTTCTCGATCATCGATGGCGACTTGATCATGGGATCCTTCGCGCGGAGGTGCCAAGGGATCCAGCGGGGGAGAATGGGGTCAAAAAGGGTATATATGGGGTTATATAGGGATTATATATGGCTTATATATATATATAGGGGTTATATGGGGTTTATATATATATATAGAGGGATATATATGAGGGTTATATTTACAGTATTTAGCCACCCCAAGATCAAGTTGCATCAGCATATGCCTGGTGTTGCACAGTACGTGCAAGTCTTTTCAGAACTTCGAACATTACATATACCTTCTTATAATCCAGCTTATAATTGGTATCCTAGGCCTTCTATTCGTTAGATCTAAGGCTATATCGCAATGGTATCCGTAGCCAAATCAGCCTACGT